AATCGACCCTAAACTTACAGGCGGCAAACGGAAAACCGATCGCTACGTATGGCAAAAGGTACGTTTACCTTAACGTGGGTTTACGCAAACCCATCCACTGGATTTTCGTCGTTGCAGATGTTTCTATGCCAATCATTGGTATGGACCTTCTACAACACCACAATCTGATCATCGACACTCGCAAACGGAGGCTAGTAGACGGAAACACTAATTTGTCCGTTTGCGTAACTTCTTTTACTGGTTGTAGAGTATCCCCAGTCACAGTTAAACATATGATAGACCCACTCTATCAACCACTACTCGATAAGTACCCTGGGATACAACAAACGCAAACGAAACTACCGTGTGTAACCAGCAATGTTACACATCACATCACGACTACAGGACCACCTGTATTTTCTAAAGCACGACGACTAGCTCCTGAAAAGCTAAGGTTAGCGAAAAACGAATTCGATCACATGATGGACTTAGGAATCATACGACCGTCAAGTAGCCCATATGCATCTCCGTTGCACATGGTCCCTAAAAAGGACAGCAACGATTGGCGTCCAACTGGTGACTATCGGCGATTGAACGCGAAAACCATTCCCGATCGTTACCCGTTGCCTCACATTCACGATTTGACAGCTACCTTGAAAGGTACAACTGTCTTTTCGAAAATCGACTTGGTTAAAGCGTATAACCAAATCCCTATGGCTACTGACGACATACCGAAAACGGCTATCATAACTCCCTTCGGACTCTATGAATTTTTGCGAATGCCTTTCGGTCTAAGGAATGCTGCTCAAACATTCCAAAGATTCATAGACGACGTTTTTCGAGGTCTCAACTTCGTACACGCGTATGTTGACGACTGTCTAATCGCAAGTCCGGACAGAGAAACACATCTCAAGCATCTGGACCTTGTTTTCGAACGATTACAAAAACATGGCATAACTGTAAACGTTCAGAAATGCCAATTTGGAACCGACTCGTTAGACTTTCTGGGACACACTATCGATGCTCAAGGTATCCGACCCCTTAGAACCAAAGTGGCGGCCATTCTGGATTACCCAGAACCGACCACCGTCAAGCAATTACGCACGTTCAACGGCCTGGTAAGTTTCTATAGACGTTTCATACCCAGATGCGCATCACTTATGAAACCTCTGACCGACCAACTTCGTGGAAATGCGAAATCCATTAATTTGGACGACACCGCACGAAAAGCATTCTCCACAGTCAAGGAACTGATTGCTAAAGCAACAATGCTCGCACATCAGGACACCCGAGCACCCATTAGCATCGCAGTAGACGCATCCGACTCAGCAATCGGAGGAGTCTTACAACAATGGGTTAACAACTCCTGGCAACCCTTGGCATTTTTCTCTAGAAGGTTGCTAGACACCGAATCGAGGTACAGCACATTCGGTAGGGAACTCCTAGCTATGTATTGTGCTGTACGGCATTTCCAACACTATATCGAAGGCCGTGAATTCACTCTTTTCACGGACCATAAACCGCTCACTTTCTCGTTAAGCTCTCCTTCTGACAAGTACTCTCCCCGTGAGTCTCGACAACTGGACTACATTTCGCAGTTTACTTCAGATATTCAACACATCTCTGGAGCAAACAATGTAGTTGCAGACGCTTTATCTCGTATAACTTCCTTGAACAGTTTCCAAGGAATCGACCTTCTTAAACTCGCCGAGCTTCAAAAAGAAGACAGTGATCTTCAGCACGAGTTATCGTCCACAACACTTAAACTACGCATCAAACAGATGGGAACAGGTAAGGAAACCTTACTTTGTGACACATCTACAGGTAGGGATCGCCCAATCGTGCCGAAACATTATCGACGCAATGTCTTCAACACATTGCACAAACTTTCTCATCCAGGTGTTCGTGCAACCATCAAGCTTATAGCAGAACGATTTTGCTGGCCTGGCATGAATAAAGACGTGAGGGAGTGGGCACGCTCCTGTGTAAGCTGCCAAAAATCTAAGGTTATCAGACACAATAAATGTCCCTTAGGCTCGTTTAAAACTCCCGATGCTCGTTTCGACCATGTTCATCTGGATTTGGTAGGACCTTTACCAGATTCAAATGGATACTCTTATCTCTTAACCTGCGTAGACCGTTTCACTCGATGGCCAGAAGCAGTACCTATCAAGGACAGCACTGCTGAAACAGTGGCCCGCACATTCGTCGAACGATGGGTAGCAAACTTCGGTTGCCCTTCAACCATCACTACAGACCGCGGACGTCAGTTTGAATCTGATCTTTTCCGTCGTCTGACCACACTTTTAGGAATCACTCGCTTCCGAACGACCGCCTACCATCCACAAGCAAACGGGTTGGTAGAACGTTTTCACCGACAACTGAAAGCTTCGCTATCAGCTGCAAACGTTTCACAATGGACCGACGCTCTTCCACTCGTCTTACTAGGTATCCGCAATGCAGTGAAAGCTGACATTGGATACACTGCGGCTCAACTCGTTTATGGAACGACACTTCGACTTCCAGGAGAATTCGTGGATCCTTCGTGCTCTTCGATGAACATGGATCTAACCTCCTACACGAACAGGCTTACAAACGCAATGCGTTCAGTTAAACCTGCTTCCACTCGACCTCAATCAACTGATGTTTTCGTTCAACCTGACTTACCATATAGTACACACGTTTTCATTCGTCGAGACTCGCATCGACGACCATTCGAATCAGCATACGAAGGACCCTTCAAAGTTCTTCAACGTGAATCTAAGTACTATATAGTCGATAAGAACGGAACCAACGATAGCATCAGCATCGATCGCTTAAAAGCAGCGTATTTAGAAGGAAATCCTATCCACGTCGATTTTCCTTCGGTACAATCGAACGACACGACTCAGACACTAATAATACCTCATCCGACAACCAACACACGCGAAGATACTTCGACAGTATCCGAAAATAAACTTAAAACGACGCGTTCTGGAAGAAGGGTGAGATTTCCAGAACATTTAAACGACTATTGCACGTAAGGCACTTCTCGACATTTTATATTATTTTTTTTTAAAAAAAAACAATTTTAATATGCTTATATATTTTTATTTCTATTAAAAAAACAAAACAAAAAAAACAATTTTTTTAACGCTATTACGTGCTCATGAGTTTATTTTCCATTTTTTTTCCGCCGACCTTGTGTTTTTACGCATATACGAGTGTATTTTCGACATGCACTTACATTTTCTTTTTTCTTTTCCAGGACGGCTGGAAAAGAACGATGACGTTTATGAGGATCCGAAATTTTCATTGTACATTTTCTTTTTTTTACTATGTTGTACCTCCGTCCCATATAGTAAGGAAAGACGACCAGACGCTGCTAAATTTAGTAAGCTATCAGAAGAGTGTTTACCAACGACAAACTCGTTGGGTTTAAACTTCTGGCTGGCCACGTCTTAGGGTCGTCACTGCCCCACTAGGGGGGGAGTGATCTGTAGCGGTAAATAAATCCCTAAAATAAATAGCTCTGTAAGTTTTCGACATTGGATGCTGACCATATGTTTTAGTGGACTCATCTAGCTGAAGGCGCTCGGTCAGGCATCCGCACCAGATCACGTGTAGTAACGCCGTGCTCAACATCAACCACAATCGCTAGCCAGATTAGATCAGAGAATCCCGGTATATTGGTCATCGCCAAATATACTCTTCCGATCTCCTCGACTCTGTCTTTTGATTTCTCTTGGTGGGAACGAAACATATTAGAAGGTGTTACTGGTAGAAGCGTTGTGAAACACTGAATACCTGTGACATCATCACCATCGATGATAAGTACGTGAAAAGGACAATCGAACCCAAAATCTCTAAAATAAATAATTTTCCGGAGTTCGAAATCTTATCACCAAGAACAATGCAAAGAAAATCATGCTGTTTGGCTGACTAACTTAGTAGTAGAATACAGTCGACCCTTGACATTAAAACCTAAGGAGCTTTTAAGAAGTCTCAAACATATAAAAAACGGGTCTCTAGGGCTCCTCGTCTTTGGCATTTTTTCAGTAAGTTCCACCCCAGGACAGCGGCAAACACAAAATTTCAGGCTTAAAGTGAGTCACACCTATTGTGCATAACAGAATGCGGTGAATACCAACAGACGCTTGGGGACATAAAAGCGAGATTTTGTGTTAGGCCTCTTCCAGTAAGCTCCTGTGAGTTTCCGACTTTTCCATGAATTAGTTAATTGAAGTTGTGGACACCACTACTCGGGATAGACTGTTACAAGTTTCAAGAGTTGGTGACATATTGTGAAACTTGTATGCCACAGAAGATTTGCTTCTCCTTGACGTTTAAACATATTAGGTCCGGAAACACTCCTTAGTATTTAATACATCAAAATTAGACCACCCCTTAATCGGAGGTAGGACGGAGTAAATATATTTAACTTATCTGGTAACTTTGTATCCGGTAGCCATCAGAATTATGGCATCGCACAGGTAGCTGGCCTTAGTATTTTTCTAAGATATCTGATTCACATTGTAAACGGGTGCTTTCATCCTGAACGCATTTTCAAGTTTGGATCTAATATTGTGCATTCTGTAGTGAACATACTTGTGCCCGTTTAAAAGTTCGAAGGCTTCCAAACCCTCGAAGTGCATCCACACGAAAGTGAGCCATGGTTTTAGGATCGTCGTTCCCTGTTAATTCTAGATCGTTGTGAAACAAGACTGAAGGCACCGACACCCTAATATCCTTAAAAACATTTGCCTGCGTGTACAAACATCTTTCTGTGTTGATGGACATCAACTCAGTTTTGGACTAGTTAACTAGAACGTCTAATTCAGCCTTAAGTGGACATGCATTTTCATCTGTTATTTCTTGACAAATTTGAACGTCACCGGTATAAAAATGAATCGAAGATCCAATGATCTTCGCTGAAAATTACAGCCGTAGTATCAAACACTCATTGAGTGGATGAAAGGAAAAGTGATCGAAAGTGCGCAACAGGACAAACTCATTGAACATTTTAAACATTGCGAACGTATTGCCGTTCAAAATTGGGGTCACATGGGTTTCAGTTGTTGATTGGCTCACGTCAAGGTCGCTTCTAAGTTCATCGGCCTGCGGCTAAGCTGCTAGTTAAACTTTAGAGTTCTATCACTGTCATGCTGATGGAGTGAGTACTTTCATTTGTAGCTAATGTACTTACTATTTGCACTGATAACACTTCGCCTGACATGCTTCTGTATTTTGTGGTAGTAGATCAGTGATTCCCCTTAAGTATATGAATACAACACAAGATGAAAAATATTAGTAAATAATCCTTAAGGAGATACCAGATGTTCTGCGTAGTTAATTAGGCTGCTTTGAACAGTAGGGAATTGTAAGTTATGAACATGCTTGAAATTCAACCAATGCTTGGCTCCCAGCTTGTTTTTGGGAATGAACGTGTGTCCCAAATTTGGGACCTTTAAGGTTACCTTCAGTGTCCCTAAGGTTCTAAGTCATTAAGTTGCATTTAAGTTCTTATATCCTGAGCCGTTTTGATTCAGTTCTTTCAATTAGTGCTTAAAGTCACCAACATCTATTCTGAGCCATGTTGGTAGATGCAGACTACTTGGTTGCGGTCCGCGTCACTATCGCAACCAATAGTTGGACACTCTGTGTGACATGGCTCAGAATCTATCACAATGGCGTGGGTGTATACACTCTTTATCTTCCCTTAAACTATGGGATTAGAATCACCTCATATCTTTCTTTCTACAATCTAATTTTTTCTTCCTTTACTATATCCTCAAATGCAATCTTTCTCTTATATATTACCACCACTGAATTAACTGCTTCTATGAACCCGATGTTCATCTTGTTGTGGTAATGAGGTGTGGCAACTTGAACCGATGCACATATGTGCCTGACCCTACGTTGTCGCTGACTGTCTGACTTCAGTCGCTCATTGAAGGATATAAACCTGAGACCACGAACTGCTTTTGTGAATAATCTCCGAACTTGTTTTCGATGCATTGTTCTTATCCTCTTTACATTAATAGAAACGACTGTCCATTTACTTAATGGAGGATGGGAATTTCTACCGTCAAACTAGTCAAAAATGCATTTCGGAGTTACTTGTATAATGTTGACTCAAAAGACAATTTCACTACACCTGACATGTAATTTCGCATCATAGCGGTCGATATGTATAAATCTTTACTAATGACAATAACTGTTCAACTGTATGTGTTTTCTGCATCATGCTGCACACAGACCAGTTTACACTTCAGAATTAAAGGTTGATCCGTTGTTCAGCTAACTTTGAAATCGAGTTTGATTTAACTTACTCTTCTGGTGTGTACTTCTCTCTAAAGTTTTAAATTGGCAAAAGGAAGTATTTCAGAGTGTCGTTCATGTAAACTAACAGAGCAGAACCCCTAACATCTAACCTCACTAGGGTATCCTATAACTCGAAAACTAGTAACAATTATTCTTGTCCAGTTATCCATCGCTCCCATCAGACCTTTTAATTCAATGGCAGTCCTTTCTGAAACCATGGGTTGGTTTGTAAAAAGTTTTTTACAGTAGACAATTGCTTGTCGATCATGGATCAAAGATTCCATAACCTTAGTGAGTACTGAAAAAAGTCATAAGTATTTTTCTTTATATCCTGTAGTTTATGACTCACAAGTACAAACTAGGTTGACTTCAAAGCTTTCTACTAAACCATGACCTAAACTATTCTTGGTGTGAGTTACGGGTTAGCTCTAGTGCGTCAATTTCATTGGTTGTTGGGTCATTAGAACCTAATACTTAGGTGACACTGGGTCTGGCTTATCAAAAAAACATGATTAAATAAGCCTTTCGGGTTGAAGGTAGATCTTTCAATTAGCTTAACATGAAAATTCCCTTACTGCAATATTTAATTCGTTTCAACGAGGATCAAATGAGAATAACATAGTGAAGTAAGAAAACGTGGTTGACAAAATTTCTAATAGTGGCTTTATTTTTTCTGACGTATACTTGCCATTATACCTACACCGGTTTTGTATGGCAACTCGTGATGTACGTTTGTTCTAGGCTGCATGTTAATCATGACTAACTGGAATAACTCAAGCTGGTAGTCCGTTTCTTTATAGATTTTTGATATGTTTTTATTTTATACGTTTTTTGTCACTTATCAACCACTTTTGTATGTTGAGCCTAACGTATATTAGACCAGAGAGAGAGAGATATCCTGTTAGCTTCATGTTATCCATACTTATTAATCTTACAGATGGTTAATAATGTAAATAAATATGCTTACAAATCCACTGCTTCATCAAGCTACATACAACACTTATGCAGTGCACTGGTCAGCCTTATTTTACAGAGTTAATGGTAAATCGACCTTGCCGGGTTTAGTATCAACCAGTCATACGCAACTTGGAACCTGGGACATGTGTATATCGGTCCAAGTTGCCTTACACCATTAGCACGAGATGAAATTATTAGGACAAATTCCAGAATAGTAAATGTGTTAACAGTACTAGTAATAATATAAACAATTAGATATCGGAAATACGATTCAAGAAGGAAATGTAAATTCGTAAAATAGAGAACAATGTACAAGGAACTTAGAATCTTAGTATCTAAGGTAGGATAAAAAGTATATGCATTGCAAACGATTTCGAGCATGTCACTTCAAGCCCCAAACTATTGGTCATAATAATCATGCAGTCAGTTACAACGTAGGACCAGGCACATACATGCATCGGTCCAAGTTGCCACACCTCATTAACACAGCAAGACGAACACCGTAGAAAGAAAAATATGAAATAACTTTAATGTCATAGTTTAAGGGAAGATAAAGAGTGTATACACCCACGCCATTGTGATAGATTCTGAGCCATGTCACACAGAGTGTCCAACTATTGGTTGCGATAGTGACGCGGACCGCAACCAAGTAGTCTGCATCTACCAACATGGCTTAGAATAGATGTTAGTGACTTCAAGCACTTATGTCACGTTTTTGTTTGGCCGCCCCTAACTTTCTTCCAACCATCCCCAACACCGGTTACCATTGCACGTCGTGGTAATCGGTGTCCAGGTATACGTAACACGTGGTCCAACCATCTCAGTCTATGGAGATTCACAACCTCATAAACTGATTTACCATCATCTAATACCCTGCGTCTAGCCTCACTATTACTTACCCGGTGATCCCAGCAGATGCGAGCAATATTTCCAAGGCATCTGTGGTCAAATACTAGTAGCTTACGAGTGTCTTCTACTCTTAATTGCCATGTTTCGCTGCCGTAAAGTAAAACAGAACGGACTGCCGCGCAGTATACTCGTCCTTTTATTGATAGACGGATATCTCGCCTTCGCCATAGGTGACGTAAGAAGGCAAAAGCCAAGCGAGCTTTTTGAATCCGTGCTGAGATTTCGTCAGACACCAACCCATTAGAATTGATCAGACTTCCAACATAAGTGAAGTTGTCAACGCGTTCGACTACTTCACTCCCTATCCTTAGTTCAGGTGTTGACGCAGACCAGTCCTGAAGCGACAACTTGCATTTAGAGGGAGAAAAGCGCATTCTAAACATTCTGGTATTGTTGCTCAGTGCTACCAAAAGACTGCATTTTATCAGCGTCTTCACCAAACAGGACTATATCATCTGCGTATTCTAAGTCGACAAGTTCATCTACTGGTAGGAAATCAATGCTCGAGAATTCAGTCTATGAGAATGTTATTTCCATTAGTAGGTCTTGACGCGTACCACTTGAGGTCGCGGAAGCAGATGAAAGTTCGCCATAAGCTCTGACTCGACTAGTAGTGTTCGAGTAAAGTCTTCACAAGGTCTACGTACTTCTGAGGTACACCTTTCAATGATAGACATTGCCACCGAACCTCTCGGTCTACAGAATCAAATGCTGCTTTTAAGTCAAGAAAGACCACCATTTTCAGACGCCGATAAGCATGCCTGTGTTCTAGAACCTGACGAATGGTGAATATGTGGTCGATGCAGTCACAACCAGATCTGAGGTCAGCCTGGTTTTCTCGCGTTCACGGTTCACAAGTCTTTGTTAGGCACCCGATAATTATTTAGATTAGTACTTTAGATGCTATTTCAGTCAAACTAATCCCTCTATGGTTATTGCAGGATGATTTTGAACCCTTCTCATATATATTGAGACAATCAGTAACTGAGACCAGTCAGATGGGATAACGTCCAACTCCCAGGATTTAGCCAAAGTATTAGTCAACCTAATCGCTAAAATTGGACAACCATATTTAAAGACCTCTGGGGCCAATCCATCTGGTCCAGCTGCTCTTCCTCGTTTCAGATTAGCTATATCCCTTTGAACCTCATCTAGAGTCGGGGGACCTACTTCAATGTTCCATTCACGCTGTCTGGGAATGGTGGGTAGTTGTAGAGTAACTGAATGCCAGCTGAACTGCTCCTTAAAGTGTTCCGCCCATCGTTCCAAACGTCTGGACTGGGAGCAGATGAGAGTGTCGTCTTTTTCCGAGATAGTCTCACACTTGACTTATTAATTCCAGTTTCTTTTATGAGTCTGAATAGCTGTCTGCTGCCACCTATAGTCGCCGCTTTTTCCATCTCTTTTGCTTTTGCTCATCATCGTGTTCAGAGCCTGATGGGATGAGTTTACGAGAATCCATCAGTGCAATAGACTTTGTAACCCTTTGATTTAAATCACCGAAAGATGTCACTGTTGTTTCCACAGCTGTTTGTATATCTTTCCAAACAACATCTGGGTCAACCTCGTTTCTAGAACTACCTAAGTGGGGCCTCAGTTGTTCCTAGAATCTATTTCCAGCTTTCTCATCACTTAATTCACTTCTGATGGGTCTTCTTGGTGTGGCTTTCCTGTGTCCAATGAGGCGCAAGGAGATACGTGCCCGTATTAGAGCATGATCCGAGTCCACGCAGGTATTCCAGAACGAGCGACAATCTTCTATCGACACTCTTCAACGATGACTGACGGCAATAAGCTCTATTTGAGTCCATCGTTTGTTTGGTGCAGGAGGTCACCATGTTAGACGATGTCTCTCCTTATGCCTAAAATTAATGTTTGCTAAAAATAAACGATTGTCTGAGCATAGTTGCAGCAGACGATCACCATTATCTGTTCTCTAAGCGGGAATACCAAAATACCCACCTTAATGTATTTCTCTTTGGTTTAAGCTACCTACTTGAGCATTAAAGTCACCTCCTACGAGTACTATGTCTGAGCGTTTAGCTTTCTGAAGAAGTTCAGAAAGCTTTCTGTAAAAATCATCTTTAACTTCATCCGAGCTGTAGTCAGTGGGAGCGTAGGTAAAAACGACGAAAAGGCAACGACGTGTGTTCCTGTCTCTTCGAGTTCTTACGGAGCCGTTAAGACGAACAACACAGACTGGTAACGGGGACCCACTCTAATAGTACTTGTTCTGCTCTCGTGCTTACTGCTGTGCTCACACCCGCCAGTCCATGAGAACTAGCAATCAGGTCGCCAGATACACGGAGAGTGTATCTCGTCGGCTCTCCGTTTAGGCGAGGTGAGGTCAAGTGAATGGCCACACTAGGATCCTGCATGCGTGTTTCGGAGACACAGCATAAATCAATCGTACGAGATTCTAGAGTCTCAGCCAAGGTGTGTACGTTGAAGGCTCCAATGCGTAGTTTGGAGCGAGGTTTCAGTAGACCTGGGACAGTTTCGCGCACTACAATCGTTGGTCATGATGACACTTGAGGAGGAAGTTTAGTGTTGAAAAGCGATGTAGGGGGAGTAATAGGGACTGAAGGAAGAGGTTGATAATGAATACAGTGGTCTTGAGTGATGCTAGAAATGTGAGGGCGGTTACCACTTTCTTGTGGGTCAAACCTTTAGGTCAAAGGCTCGGGGTGTGGCCCCCTAAGAAAACCACCTGCTTCGGTATGGGCACCCAGGCAGTGTCACAGCTCACACACAAATAAAATGAAAATGATATTTACTGAAACTTCTTTTAACTCTTCGATTAACAGTCAAATAATTCACATTATTATTATTATTATTATTATTATTATTATTATTATTGTTATTATTTACCACGTCACTTATTCACTCTCTTTTATTTCCACTTTGTGTATACTTATTTTTCGACTTATACAACAGCTCGCCCATGGTGGAAAACTTCTATCTAAACGTTCTAGAATCACTGCCTGGTTGAAAATTGTATGCTACCACCAAATACGAATACTGAAGCAGTTTTTCTGAAACTACCATTCAACAGATAGGGCTGGCTATGTCTTTGGAAAGTCTTAATATCGACGTTTGTTCCCTATCCGAGACCCGTATTCAAGACTCTGGTGAAGTACTACAAATTCGCTCTCCATCTGTTGCCTCGAAAAGCTTGTTTTACGTGCGTTTATCCGGGGACCCTGTGGCATCTTCGTCTGGTCTTGCTGGCGTTGGTGTCGCACTAAGCGCTAGAGCTGAGGCAGCACTAATCGATTGAATCCCCACTAACAGTCAGTTGTGTGCTGTTAGATTAGAGAGTTCCATCAAAGTGAGAAAAAATCGGCGTGAGAAACGATGTTTTTCGTCATCTCCGCCTATGACCCGACAGATTGCAGCCCGGATGCAATCAAGGATGAATTTTACCACCAGTTAACTGTTCTTCTCCAGAAAGTGCGTTCGACAGATATTGTAGTACTAGCCGGAGACTTGAATGCTCAGGTCGGGCGTCTAGGCACAGAAGAGAGTCGTTTAGGTGGCTGATGGGGACTTGTTGGTCGCAAGACAGATAATGAGGACCGTCTACTGCAACTGTGCACAGACCACAACCTGTTTCTGGCTAGCACCAACTTTCGGCACAGTCATCGCCGGTGTGCCACCTGGCGTCCTCCCTCTGCATCTCAAGCCTGGACTCAGATTGATCACATCGCGATCAGCTACCGCTGGCGTGGTTGTGTACAGGACTGCCGCTCCTTTTGGAGTACCTATCTGGACTCCTATCATGACCTGGTCTGTGCCAATCTTACCTTACTTTTCAGTGGCCAACGAAGTGACCACCACCAAAGGATTGATGTCAGCAAGTTGGTTGCAACTTCTGTTGCTAGTAAGTATCGAACCGAGCTCTAGCTTCTAGGTTGGCTACCATTCCACCTAAAAGTAAAGATGGGCATTGATTGCAACTGCATGACGCCCCTAGCGTTTTTTCCCAATTTCTCTTCATCTGGAAGCCGGTTCGTTCAGTTCTTCACTATTCTGTTTGAATTTCTCCATAATTACCCTTCAGATTATTTTCTCTGATTCTATTTATTAATTTATTTGTTCTAGGGATTCAAGTTTTGAAGATGAGTCTGGTGATGAACATGATGGTTATGATCCTGTTCGCAGCCGGATTGTGGATAATCAAAATGTATCATATAAACCTAGATATGTTCCTTCGGAAGCTGATGAAGTAAGTTATAAATATGCCAAATGATCATTCTTAGAATTCGGGCTCTGACGATCTAAGTGATGATCTGGAAGATCACTTATCTTATTCTCATAATCCTCCACATTCTCCAGTTGATTCTTCGAGTGAGCATTCGATCGTTAAATCTGAACAAAATCATTTTTCGGAGAATCTGGATTACGATAGGGAATATCACGTTGAACCTGTTGTGGATGTCACTACCCCAGGTTATGCTCCAAGTCAAGCTTTAACTCCCGAATCCAGTCCTGCCCTGAGTTATTCCGGAAGTGAACATGCATCAGATGTAAATGTGACTAGAAAAACTGATCCAAATATTTCTAGTGAAGTGCATCAGGAAGATGAAGTCGAACACGAGAGCAACGATGACTCAGAGTCTGTAAGCGAAAAAGATCAGGAAGAGTTTCATCAACAGGAAGTCGATGAAACTCCCCAAGTGAATTCTGTAGAGAAATATCCCACAACCAAGCATAATTCTCCTATCGAATCACTCCAGTATAATAATTTCCCTGACATTTTTGAAGATCATGATGATGATCAAGATCAAGGTAAATTCAATGAAGACTTCGAAGGCTTTGAGAGAGATGAACAACCAGAATCTCAAGTGGATGGCATCATAGCAGATATATTTGGCGAAAGTGATGCAGAAGAAGAATTTGAGGGCTTCGCCGAAAATGAACTGGACAAAGGTATTGAAGAGGAGGTTGAAGTTCAAACATCTAGTGAGTTAGTAACAAAAAAAGGTCCCCTTACGACAGCTGGAGAAAACGAAGGAGATGAAGAGTCTGAACATGATGATGAGTTCGTTTCCGACTTCGACCGGATAATGGAAAAAAAGAAAGAAGAATCACGACGAAGACGTAGACGTAATAGGGATATTGAATTCCTTAATGATAGTGATGATTTGATTGTTGAAACCATTTCTCGAATGAAAAGTGCTGCCGATGAAGACAGACAGTTACTTACAGCTAGTCGACCAGCGACCAAGAAACTGAACATGCTCAAAGAAGTATTAGCTATTCTTAGGCGAGCTGACCTGAAATCCGCCTTGATAGAAAATGGAATGCTTTCCGCTATAACTGAGTGGCTATCCCCTTTACCTGGTCATACACTCCCGAATCTCGTTATTCGTGACTCTATGTTGACTAGTCTCAGTGAGTTCCAGTCACTGTCATCTGAAGTTCTTCAAGAATCCGGTATCGGGAAAGCCTTGATGTATTTGTACAAACACCCGAGAGAAACTCGAGAAAACAAGGATAGAGCTGGAAGACTTATTAGTGAGTAGTTTTCCTAAAATTTCATGACTATCTTAAACTCCAGTTAATTATCTGCAGTTGCATTGAGTTACAGCAACATTATGTTCTACTCATCATACAAATGTGAATGGTTTTTTTTACATGTAATATCCTTTTGCCCGTGTTTTGGCAATGTCGCCCAAACCACTCAACTGCAGCTAATGAAATGCCCGTTAAATAAGAGCTCAACGTTTTTTAACCAGGCTAAAGGTCCACAAAACTAGTGCAACATACTCATGGCCTGATAAATAGAATGAAACCATTTACTTATTAGTCCGATTTCCAACAATCAGACTGCATGTTTTTAGCTTTTTGGAACAACAGGATAGTATCACTGATCTTTACAAAAACCCTAATTTCAAACACCAGTATAAAATTGATTGTTTGGTCGCATTACATTTTCCCGGTAATCTACTGGTTTGCTAAGACTAAAACTACGAAGTTAGCAACGAGAATATATTATAGGACCAGCACAACTTAATACTCACATTATAAGTTAAAATTAGGTGGGAATTGTATATCTATGCCCTGAATAGCATCCGGTCTTCATGTATAAATAATTTGGTGTTGACCGTATGGTGTAAAAAGCCAACTTTATGCAGTTATCAAATCACAGAAGGTTACAACTACTAAGCCCGACTTGAAATGTTACTGTGACAAAGAAGGGTGAATTGATAATTTATACTCTTGGAACAGCCTCAAATCCTAAGCAAATAAATTTCTTCAAAAAGAATCAGTAGCCGACAAAATGAATTTAAGAATATCTGTTGGATATTATTATTATTACTCTCATTACTTATATGTTTGATATTCAACAAAAATGGTGCAACTGTGAGACACCGGTATGTTAACAAATGAAAATAAAGTTCAGAAGATTGATGATGATTATTCACTTCTGCCTGCTGTAAAAACCGTACATGAAGAATACTTTTCATTGGAAAACAGTCTGTACACTAAGTGTAGTCGGTGGCATGGACATCATTGTCAGTTACTACTTAGTAGCGAAACATCACAAAAGGAGGGTAAATATAACACTGGTTTGTACTTTATGTCGTGTAGTTTTTGTAGACTAATCACGATACTTCCCTTATTGCTGATCTTTGTTTCATATTTCTATGTGTATGATCTGGTGCTTCATTGTAGATGAATGGCTCCGACCCATATTCAACTTGACTAGTGACTATCGAACTCTCACTAAGGAGGAACGTAAACAGCTAGATTATGAACATTTACCTAAGCGGAGAAACATCGAGTAAGTTCTATTTCCATGGTCATATTGTTGAATGTGTCTACTAAAAAAGTATCTAATAAACCGTTAAGTGACGCTGTTAACATTCATATTTTGTGTTACAAATATTTTTTTCACTTTAGAGCATGTTCATTGATCCTTTATGTAACAACAGTCTCTAGTATTGACTATTTGATACAAAAGTTTGTATATAAGTTGCGTAGAAGAGGTGGTTCGTTGTTTAAAACTTAGTTTTCAACCAATAGGTTATAGGTTAGAATCCAGCTTCGTTAACTTCTGTCTAATTAACTGGGTGATATTAGCAAGCCTCATATAAGAACAAAGTGTTGTTGAGATCCGAATTTGTAAACTTCTACTTGGTAAGTAAGTAATAGAACAGCGCGTAATGTGGAATTTAAATCCTGTGTTCACTATATCTTGATGTCAATACTATTTGGATTAATTTATAATTATATAGTACAGAAATACTGACTACCATATATACATGTCGACCTGTTATTAGCAAATGAGATGACTTTTTATTTTCAAATTTATGAGTGAAAATCCAAGTGTTAAATTTAGAATTTATTTGATAGTTGGTAATATTTATCTTTGTTGGTATTCAGAAACATTCACCTGTCTCGTTTAGCTATCTTCTGACTATAAAATAATGTACCTATTAAGTGGTGTCTTTCTGTAATATAATTTTATAAAAACCATTTATCAGGCCCTGTTTTATTCAATAACTAAAAACTTCAAATAAATAGTCAAAATAGTATTGCCATTTATAGTGTGTCTAATAAATGGACACTAATGATAAAAATGTTCACTATTTCATAAGTCATGCAAATTTAAATACTTATATTACGTGCCTTATCGTATAACACGAATTGAAGATTATATTGAATAATCTTATTTACGAATTTTGTCTGTATCTAGTTTTCTCGTAGCATAGAGTTTAAAAAATGGAATTTGATATTGTGATCATAGGACACATGGTCTTCAGAATAATGAATTCATTAAATTTCAAAGCTGTTCAGTGAAATACTTTAATTGAGAATTTCGCAATTTTCAACGTACAAAAGTACACTTATCTTGTCTGTTTCTGTACCTGATTTCTGCACAAGGGTATTATGAATCGACCATGTATTTTGTATTTTTTTTATCTAGTTAGTCAGTCGGTCATGAGCAAGGTAAAACCTGCATATGTTTGTCTACTGTTAGATTAATTATGAATGAACTTATATTGACACAAATGTATGGTAACGGGCTAATGTTTAGCTTTTCATATCATTTGTATAGAGAACCTCACACTAACAGAATAATCAATTTAGTATCAGAGTTCGATGGTCGAGATTAGTAATATATGGGAAATTTGCTATCAATACTACGAACACATCAGTTGTCTGTATCAAATTCTATATAATTATTCGTACTGAATATATTTGATTGTCTCCTGACTTTTGTGAAGTCTTACTCTACCAGCATCGTCATATATGGTTAACCATTTTATTATTATATATGGCATTTCTTTTATAAGATACCATGATTCCGATTTATCCAAATAAAACTTTTTTTTATACTATGACTAACTATCGAATATGTATGATATAAATAAATCCCTACCAGAATCACAAGTGACTGTGAACAAATTTCACCTAATTATAGAATGTTTAAATAATAGTTGTTTTTTTTATCAGGATATAAAACCAATTCGATCAGTTTATTAGTTTTTGAATCATGAATAATGTAGAATTTAGGTCTAATATATCAGCATTGATTTTTAAGAAGATATTCCTCAGAAGCTTGGAACTATGATTGCACTGATCGCTTGTTCTATCGTTGATTATGATGGAAGAATGATTATTTTGGTAGACCAAGTTTTCAATGAAAATGAATTTTAATTTTATATATTGTCTTTGTTTAAAACATTAAATATTGTAGAATATTAAACTTCACTTGACTTGCTTAATTACAGTAACGAGGCCTACAACCATCGGGACATTAACCGTGAATTGGATGGTGAAGCCAAAGGGTAAGAAGAATTCCTCATTGCTATTGTTGGTATTATCATTACTCTACCATTACATTTTACCTTTACTCAATTGCATTTCAAATGAATCGTTCTAAAACTGTAAAGATCACTTCTAGTTTTTCTGATTTTGACTTTGTCTATTTCTCCTTGTACGCAGTAGAAAAATTGCTTATATTGTTGGTAATCAGCAGTATTCATTAAGCTTGTACTTATTATTTATTTATTTAAATACATAAGCATTGGTACAAGGAAGCACCAAAAAGATATGCGTCAAATAAATCATTTGATTTATGTGAGGGTTGGGATACTGCCCGGGTGCCCAAACCGAAGCAGGTGGTGTTTTTAGGGGTCCACACCCCGAGCCTTTAACCTAAAGGTCTAATCCATAAGGTAGTGGAGCAACTTCAGGAGATGCAGTCCCATGGTAGCCGGTGACCCACAGTAGGTTCATGCACCATTTGTTTCCTTAGGATCCTGGAGCCCATGTAAACCACTGATTTGGAATCAGGGTTTTCCAACTTCCCTAGGTGAATCCTCCGTATCCACCATTAACCTTGTGAAACCAATCTTTTTTTCTAGCATCAATCGACATCATTTGACTCGTAATTATTGATTAACTAATTAATCTTGTATATTCATTAAATTCCTTCATTCATCAGTGTTGCTATGTTATTAGTCTTGTGGGATAATCGTCTATAATCTTTGCACCGTTCAAAAAATCTAATGCTAAAAAGCTCCAAAATTTGTTTTAAGTAGGAACACAACACCCAACTTACCATGAACTCATTACAGTTCTGTTCAGAAACGAAATCGCAATACGTTCAAATACTAAACAGGGTAAATAAGACCAATAATGCTCAAAGTATTTGTCAAAATAATATGAAACAAATGAATCAAAAGAAATGCATTGATGTGTCAAGTGAAAAAATAACTAAATGATGTAAATACTACTCAGTAATAGCAAGTAATTTAATACAATATAAAGACGGAATTAAGGCATCATGTAAAATTGGTGACGCAAATGCACTTCATCAGAAATAAGAATCAATCCACTAATATCTTCGTCGCTCATTATTTAAAGAACGTAACCAAACATGAAGAATTGTCTGGCAAAAACTGATTACTTTCAATTTCACTGAGTAATTTACAGTCCAAGTCTAAAATCAAAATTTTTTATTTATGCCTCGCATACTTTCAGTGGCTTTTTCATTGTATCATAGCGTTCTTTAGTTATTTGCCGTCATCTAAAAGTATGAATGTATATTTACCAGTCACAGTCTAGTTCGTTTGCTTTCACCATGTCTGATGCTGTAGGTCAGTTGTTTTAATAGTTAAAGGGGAGTTGATGTCTCCATTTCACCTACCTCAATTTGGGCATCTCGGTAGTATCACTAGCCTTCACACAAAATATGACTCAAAGTTGAGTGTATGAATCTGTATTTGTTCAATAAGTGATATCACCATAACTGGTGTACGTTGTGTTGGAAGTAGAATGGTGGGTAATTCGAGTTTATCAAGAAGAGAAACAATATAGAATAGTACTAATGGAGAATTCCCAAATAGAAATGGGAGGATAAATATCCCCTGACTACAACTAATCAATAATTTGAAACATATTACACATGGTTAAAAAGCGTGTAAATGAATTGATAACCTTAATTTCAAGTCACTTTTGTTTATAAATTGATATATACAACAAGAAAGGAATGGGGTTTCATCGCATAGATCATTTGGATTACTCGTTGTTCAAGGGTTCAGAAAACCTGATGACTGATCTGAAAATTCGCTCGTTACGGTGAGTATTTAGAATCTAAATCGACCCGTCCGTGATCGCATTTAGTAAATTTATTTATACAAGGACCGTGTACGCTTGATTTATAATAAATGCATATAAGACCTCTTTACTACAGTCATATTTTAGTATCAGTTTTGAGGATCTGTGGAGATTGTAGTATTTTCAAAGTTGAATTCACTAGTCAATCTGAGCTAGACCATCATTGGAAACCTAGAAGCTTTGGACGGCCGTTTTGTCTCAATATGGAATTCCTCAGCAGTGCGCATCCACGATCCCTCACGCAAGACGGGGACACAGCACCTTCGGTAGTCAGTGACCAGTGGAGTCCAATCCATGGCAAGTGTGAGACAGTTATCCATCTCAAACAATAGATGAAGAGTTGCGCAAGATCATGAATCGATCGAAGTTAGACATTAACATCGTTGGATACCGGTTCAGTGGTGCGTTTGCGCGAGAGACCGAAGGTCCTTGGTTCGAGTCCAGCGCGCGGGATCGTGGATGCACACTGCTGAAAATTCCCATACTAGAAGGAAACGACCGTCCAAAGCTTCTAGGTTTTCAATAGTAGTCTAACGCTGATCCATTCATTATCTCGATTAGAACTCAACAATCTCCACAACCCTATACTGATAAAGAAAGATCTATTTTTGATAAATCAGTAATAACCCTACACAAAATCTACATTAAAATGACTAAAAAAAGCTTTAAACCTGGCTACAACAAAGCAACACAACAATTCTAAAGATCAGAATAAATTGCTAGTAACACATTTCCAATCCTAGTCGTACGGTAAAGAACAATACAGATAATAATTTTATGCTATATAACCGCTCATTTCGATAGCGAAAATCATTCGTTGTTTCTTCTGTAGTTAACATTTATTTCTGCTTATGTATGATACTTTAAAATTCTAAATTAGTTTTAAAGAGGGCGTATTTGTGAAAAATTCTGACCAACTAATAACTGTCCTCAGTGTTCAGTTAATGGTAATTACTATCTTTAATTGTTCTACACTTTATAATTTAAAATATTATCTGTCGAAGCATTATGAGTAGCCTTGTGCTTATTTCGGAATCGCCTAACCTTTTTACTGCTAATTATCTTGTTTTTTAATATATTTAAAACAAACCATATTTTCGATGAATATTTCTGATTTATTGCTTTATGATTATAGACTTTTGAGGCCTGGCGATCCTGGATGGGTTAATAGAGCCCGAGTTCCTCAACCGTCAAATAAAGATTATATTATCCGACCAAAATGGCGTGTTCGAGAGAATGCTACTGGGGATGATAATGACGAAGAGGGAAATGATGATCAGACAGAACAATCTCAGTCACTTTCTCGAAAGCATCGAAAAACACGAACATCTGGTTTTGGAGCTACATCACGAATTGAAAGTCATATTCGAAATTTAAGTAATAGTGCTCGTAAAAGTCATGCTAAAGCTGCTCGTGCAGTTCCAATGAGTATTGAAGGTCGTAATATGTCATTGTGATTAGTATTTACTGTCAAATGTTCTTATTTTAATTATCAACTTCCTTTAATTATTCTGCATCTTACTGTACAGTATATTTTGCGTTTCTTTTGCTTACTTGTCTCATGATATAAAAATTTGAACTAGTTTCCGTTTGTATATTATGTTATGAAATAAGCTGAAAATAACATGTTCACTGTTTTTATTTTCAAATATTTTTCCAATATGAACATTGGAAATATAGAGAAATATTGTTTTCTTTACAAAATACTACATATTTCCCATATGAGATTCATGAATTTATTATTGTATATTGGTGTATATTCAGTTGCAGGGGATACGAAGTGTTTGATCGTTTTTTTCATATTTTTTTAAATTTTATTCTTTCGTACAATGAAAGCTTTTTTAGGCATCGCCATTTCAAACTTAATTTGTATCTAAAACCTATATACACTACGTAAGAAGGATTAATTAAATCACTGATAATGATAATATCACTTATCGCAGTGTCCCCATTATATTTGTGTTCGAACGTCCATGTACCTATAAAAATTTTTGCTCTGGTTGTTAGAAGGGGCATCGGCCTCATGGCTTCCGAAGGAACTCGGCTTTCACCATGAAGCGTCATAATTCTTCTAAATCAAGACCTTCTAACTCCCAGGGCAGAGTTAAAATGGTTTGGGTTATTTTTTCTGGTAAACGTTTTTTTAGCGAGTTAGTTTTCTACGGGATGGGGACGCTAACCCCATGCCCAACCCTCCTCCTTTACCCGGGCTTGGGAACGGCAGTAACCCTATAAGAGCTACAGGCGGAGTTGTCCCCATTATATATAAAAAATAAATTAAATCTATTCAGATATGATGGTAAACATTTTTGAAAATAACTTTCATAAAGGCAAATGTTTTAATAAATGGATTATACCCATTAAGATATTAATTAAGAAAGATTAGTTCAGTGAAGAGTCCTCTTTTCGGCGAATTCATTTTCAAAGCTATACAATCGCAAATATATATTCTTACTTTAACAGGATGATAATAAACTTCTGTTAGGCATGTTGACAGTGAGGTTAAATAAACAAAGTTATTAAAAAATTCTTTTAAAAACAAGGAAAGTTTAATAATCGTTTGATTGTTAATGGCTTAAGTATTCATCAAAGGATACATTGGGAAAGGATAGCTCAGCATGATAAGATAAATATTGAAATTTAGATTAAATGTAATGAGGATGATCGTGGAAACAAAATAAACCGGTTGGGGGTAGAAAATTTAAGGGAAAGATGGAGGGTGAAGCAGATAGCCGTGAATGAAGAGAAAAATATAAGACATCAGGACCATAGTAGAAGAAGAGGTTGTACCAGTCGCTTTTGCACACACAATTCTGGTCTTTCTAGGTGTATCGCTAAAGCTTCGGCAATGCAAAGAAGATGCAGTCTAATTGTTTTGGGGAGACTTCTACTTACCTTGTAAATGTCTTGATTGAGTGACCTGTGTTCACTAGGTGCTCGATTACTGAGCTTATTGAGCCGCTTCCTCTTTTCAGCCATACCGGACAATGTTCTTCAAGGCGTTTACTCTTATGACATATGGGATAGCTAACCTATTAATGTCATACGATGAATTTATGTAGCTTCTGCCTACATAAATGGGCCCAGTCAGAGAAAAGATCTTAAAGGACAGTTATAAATGAATAATGACGAATGGTCGTATCAATTAAAAATTGACATTGAAGATCTTTGTTTTGTGAAATTTCGATCCTTTCTACAACATGGTCCGGATGATTTTACTGGTTAGATCTATAATACCGTTCCACTAGTCAATAGTTCTTCATTACAGTTTTAACTTGTTGAAACAATTTGTGGTTTCTGTTGTCTTGTGATATTAATATGAATCAGTGACGCAAAAAGTGCTAGTGGTAGTGATGATTGCACTTATCTTAGGTCTGTGCATCATCAGTCCAAATGTATATTTCTTCTGTAATACTAATCCAGATGATCATATCAGTCAGATAAATAAAAACAACCACATAGGATCTCTGTTAACAGTGTACTGTAGCAAATATGTCATCAAGTTATTTCTAAAAGTAGTCAGTATATAATCACTTTTCTTGCAGTATAGTGGATTTGTGATTGGATTTTCACTCTTTTCAATCATATCGCGGATTATGAATTCACTTTTGATATCTGGCTATCAGTGGGTCTTATAAGCTTTTCATGCAATGTACCTAAGGTATACAAGATAAAAACAATTCTTTTTGTAAAAACGACAACAATCCCATTTTGTCTTAAATGTAATTAATGGTTGTATATAGCGATAGCACAAGATTCACATAAAAGGTATTTATATCTATAATTGGTGACTGGGTAACGCTACTGAGGATTAATCATACCGATGTAATTGGATATTTCTAAAGATCCGCACTCCATCATACTGAATATAAAATACCTCGAACGAAAGCCTTTATACGCTTTTAATATGACGAGATGGGAAGCCGAAATTACGTTTTGAACTCATTATAACACTTTTTCAACATCACTTCCGTTTTGAATTCAATACTATGGTTATCAACTGTAATATTCGTTTTACTTACGGTGTACTATTTTAATCACCATAAGTCGCTTTAGTTCAGTGTGTTGGTTACTCAAGATACAATGTTTTTTGCAATAAACTAATATGAACTATGCTCAGCATGATATGCAGCATGTGATTTGTCATAAGTCTGGGTATTTTTGATGTATGTGATTTTATTCTAATTAATAATCAAAATGAATGTGCAATCAATATATAAATGACTGTATTTTTGACTAGGGTCATCGCTTTTTAGAGTTAATAAATTTTCACTTGTACCAATCTTAGTGTTCTTACTTTTTATCTTGGGAAATATAGTGGATTCTCGTTTTTCAAATATAAGTATTAGGCGACGTGGACATAACTTCACAGCTAAGTTACAATTTTTACCGTCCACTAAATGGATTATTTCCCTATGCCTGTTGCCCGTTGTAAAACATAGGCCCCCGGACAGACATTTGCAATCGACTCTGCCCTCACTTTTCCTTCTCAGTTATTGCCAATTTCTATTCGTTCTTTTGATGTCTGGCGCTAATTCCCAGGGTAATGTTTTTTTGGTCTCCCTCTTTTACTTTAACCTTCAGGATTCCAAACTAAAGCTTTCCTTGCTGTGCATTTTGATGATTTCCGGAAATTGATCTATCCACTAGATATTTATAATATTATTCCTGTAGGGGAGAGTTAGTAAGTTGGAATAGAATGATGTGACTTAGTTGAACAGTTCGTTTAACAAAGTTTGATAAAATATCTTACACCACGGGACAGTTAGCGAATTCATTGCGTTGATATTATAGTTATATTGGTTTAAACAGAGTTCCTGTGTACTATAAAGCCTTTTCCAATACTTTACTGCTTCGTGAAGTCTTCACATTTGACAGAGTAAACTCAACAATTGCTAATCAAAACTCACGTTAATAAGAAAATCACGGTAAAATAGCTCTAAAATAACCGAATAAATGCAGGCGTAGTACTGATATTAACAGATGGTGGATTCTTAGAAAACCTCTTATTTTATTTTATAGTCTAAAAAAGATATACAAGAGTGCACATGTGAAAATTAATCCCATTGATCTAACAAAATTCCAGCCAATAAAGTCATTATGTTCTTTCCTACTTAATTAATTATTAAGTAGCCAGTGAGTGAGTAAAAATTACGTAGCTGGAAATTCATTGCTTGGTGATTCCAGGCTTTAGTCAGAAATTCTTGAACCTAGCTTTTATGGTAATTATTACTCATCACTATGACCTCAGTCATATTTGATGGAACTTTTAGTTTTCTGAATACTAGATATTTCATTATTGCTTATTCCATTCAAAATTGCCTCCATATATTTATTTTGGCCATGTCTGGCCACCTGTAGGATTTGATTAATTCCATTATTCGTCTACTGGGCTGTAACCATCATCATGTGGTCCTGCCTTTCGTGCTGATTGGAATTTACTGACCGAAATCTTTTTAAAGCTAATTTTTAAGAAGCTCTCTTACAATTTTAAAGTAATTCTGGGATACCACTAAAGACCAGGAAACAATAGACAGTTATTTCATCCCAGTTTAAGAATCCTAATTCATGTATAATCACGTAACCACAATAAAATACAGCTTTTATTTCCCAGTGTAACCATACCGCCGCCCAGTCAATTAGCAAGAATTCAATTCTCAACATCATTTAGTTTTCTATAAAACATGATTCTCATTTAAGTATAATGGGTCTTTTTATGTAGAGTTACTAATATCAAATGAAGCTCTATATATATGCATAATCAATAAGTGAATAAAATTTCTGCTAATCATGAAACTTGAAATGTTGGTAAGATAAATTGATGACGTTTGTAAATGTTGCGGTTACTTATAAATGTTAACTTGATTCAGTAAGCAGTTATATTGCTAACAATTTGTAGGAGTATAGTGTAACGCAAGTTTATTTGTTATGTTATGTCCTAAAGCTTTTGCCTACACCTATAACATTACCTGTATTTACTATTACAATTCCTTCCTCTAAACTCCTATGAAAGTTATTCTCAGTTTTTTAAATTCCTTTGATCTTTGTTTATACGCTACAGTTCCCAGATTTGTGTGCTCATTAGTTCACATTTTGGCTGTTGATAAACCGTTGTTAACATTCGATGCAATTATCAGCCGTCATTTACGCTATGGTATGTTGTAATTACGCTACACCCTATTATTAAATGAAGCCTTTAAATTTCCAGATATACAGACGCCTTGATTACTCCAGATACCCCACAAGTTGACATTGTGACCAATTTATATTTGTGCTCCACAAATAACCGTTCTTTAGACAAATCTATGTGCTCTTGAACTATGATTTCATGCGTATATCAATCATGTAGTTTGACGCTTCGATAGAACTAACGGTGATTTTCATCAACAAGATTTCACTCAATAACAACTGCGTGATTTCCCATCGAAACGCAACGTTAATTTTAATATATTCTGAGATGAAACTTAATCACGTATATCACCATATCTGAACAGTTTCTTTCTATAACAGTAGATGATGATGATGATGATGATGATGATGATGATGATGATGATGATGATGATGATGATGATGATGATGATGATGATGATGATGATGATGATGATGATGATGATGATGATGATGATGATGATGATGATGATGATGATGATGATGATGATGATGATGATGATGATGATGATGATGATGATGATGATGATGATGATGATGATGATGATGATGATGATGATGATGATGATGATGATGATGATGATGATGATGATGATGATGATGATGATGATGATGATGATGATGATGATGATGATGATGATGATGATGATGATGATGATGATGATGATGATGATGATGATGATGATGATGATGATGATGATGATGATGATGATGATGATGATGATGATGATGATGATGATGATGATGATGATGATGATGATGATGATGATGATGATGATGATGATGATGATGATGATGATGATGATGATGATGATGATGATGATGATGATGATGATGATGATGATGATGATGATGATGATGATGATGATGATGATGATGATGATGATGATGATGATGATGATGATGATGATGATGATGATGATGATGATGATGATGATGATGATGATGATGATGATGATGATGATGATGATGATGATGATGATGATGATGATGATGATGATGATGTAATAATCGGAGTGAATATCACTGGAATATGGATTTTATGGAGGAAAATATTTTAGTGATTTTATTATAATTAAATCACATTTGTATTTGGGAAGTGATAGTGTGCTTCGAAATATGATATGATATACATGCAAATTGTAGGGGAGAATGATGTTGGTATTTCGTCGCAACCAAATCGAGGTAAATATACCTGAAACTGTTACCCTATCAACTGCAAAAGTAGTGCAGTTACCTTAGTTAAGCGATGTGTAGTGCTAACATCCATACATTATTTAAAAGTCGAATTTCACTAAGTTTACGTTGTAAAAAACACAAACTTCATTTGGTCTTCTAAAAATAGCTACAACCATACACAGATAAAATTAAACGTTTAGGTTTTTAATTTTGTACAGAATGTCCGTCTTTTTTAAAAATTCCGCTTTTCTTATAATCACGTTCATTAATATATGTCAGTAGTAAAACAGATAAGTATTTTGATAATTTGTGTAAGCCTAATGAAGCAACATTAATATACCCGTACATACGAAGATTAATTACTTTCATGAAAAACGCGAAAACTGGAAATAAAAATAAGTGGATTCCTACAGTTCATCTCAATCATCTAGACTTTCTATTGTTCTTATTGACTAAATATGTTGTTCATTATTTTCAGTATTTCTGTTATCATAATTTTTAAACCCTCTGGTAATATTTTACTTAACTTATACTTTAATATCATCCCACTTCAGTTATTTTCAAAATTTTCACATTTAAGTATGGGAAAAATTGTATTTATAGTCACCACTAAAGCCTACGATAAAATAAAAGAAACTTATTTTTGTAATACTTATTCATTTCATTTGTTTTGATAAATCAATTTTTTTAAGAATCTCCAATAGAAATATGTTATATCGTAATCACTTTGATAAAACAGGCTACTATTGGGTATGAATTATATAAATTGTTATTATAATGGCATGAAAATCAATAATTTATTTCTCCTTTATTGTATATAAAACCAACCCAAGCTGTAACCATATATATCAATAAAAGTTAAAAGGTAGATTTAACCCCGTTTTGATAGGTTGACTTGATTTTTATCTACTTTATAAAATGACCTAAAAAGTTAACTATGGTGTTGTTTAGACTGTAAAAATGACAGTGAAACGATAATTTTTGATAGCATTCATTCATGTAACTGGTGAAATAATAAAGGAAATTTTTTAAAATACTATCATACTGATTTCACCCCCCCCCCCAAAAAAATGTGTTAATCAAACACGAGTTAAAAGAAATCATCTATCTTAAATATGAACCTCCATCCTGATGAAATTGAATTCAAATCACTGTAATTTATTGTCTACAAATATGTAGTTGGATATAATAATGCTGCTTTATGTCACTCAGATATTATTTTATTTTTCTTTAGAAAATATTCTCTGAGTAATGATCTACATCTATGGAGTTTCATTGTGTAATGTAGTAAAACATTTTACTGTATCTAAATCATAGCTTGGATATCTTTACATTACTTACACCCACGTACACCTATATATATATATATATATATATATATATATATATATATATATATATATATATATATATATATAGGTCATAATACAACGAAATTGTTATTCCACTTTTTATCGTTGAATGTCCATAACATATAGTACTGAACAGAATCATATTTCAAATGACATTCAGTTTCACTAAATAATACTGTTAGTTAACAGACATTAATATATGTGTGTGATATATTTTTTACGGTCAAATTAACTGGCCAATAAATTTTGTAGAAAATGCGAAACTGAAAAAAAAACACATTATTTTCAAGTACGATATCACGAATAATAATCAAGTTTGATAATTAGACCTTCCATCGATTCCATAGATTCGTGAATGACCTAAATAATCCGCTTGTAATACCCATATATGTTGGAAATCAGTTCTAATCATATATATATATATATATATATATATATATATATATATATATATATATATATATATATATATATATATATAATTTTCTATGCGAAACGAGTAGTACTTTGTTGACTAGTCATTGTCTTATGATATCCGTTAACTTGTAATCATTAATGTCAGCGGTCCGAATTTGTAATTAATTGACTAGAAACTACTTTCTTAACAGTTACATTACTCAATGGTGCAATAAATACAATATTTCTCTTTTTATAACAAGTCAAACGATCAGTCACGAACGACAAATCACTATATATTAACCCTTATTTGTCCAATGAATAAAGCTTTTAAAAGCTAACCAGTTATTTATTGCACCATTTTGCTAAACATTGATTACGAAGACAGTTTCGTCACAGATAGACATTTACTGACGAACTATGTAAATTCATAGAGCACTGAATAGCTACTGTGTTCTATTATGGGACTTAGCAATATGACCTTACTCATGACCTTACTTATTTAGTGGAAATAAATCAATATAATTTATTCTTGCTAATTTTTCCTTTGTTAGTTTAATTTTGGTTTCATTAGGCGCATTATCCTTCATGAGTACTATTATTAATTAGCAAAATAAAATGGTATTTTTCATTTAGTTCTTTCTAAAAACTATGTTCAAGTATTTTTTAAGCTCAGAAAGAACATTTTCAGCGAGAATATAATTTATGGGCGAAACAATCAGATATAGGGTAACAGGTCTTAGATTTTGGAGCGAAATTCATGCACCCATTTGTCTGAATAACATTTTGGCATTTTATTTGATGTCAGTTTGTGATGGAAACCCTAAATCTAGTTTCTAACCCTAATGATTAACTGTAAATCATAATTGTAATTCGTCACATTGCTTTATAACCCTTATTTAGCCCTACTAAACAGGTGGACATTCTCAAGGTCACTTTAGCGTCGCTTAAGCGTCTTCGATAAATTATAGTCTTACCTTATTTTCCTCTAATGAGGAAAAATTTTACCAACTGATAGGATAATGCATAATTTTATAGAATAAATAACAGGTAGAATTGAATTCACTAAAAACCCAGAATTAATATGATAGAATTATTATTAACGTTATCGATGATAATCACTAGTCTGTGTTTCATTGACTTTTTTTAGTTGGAGTATTGAACAACCACTCATTGTTGCCACGTCCAGTATTATTTTGTTATTGAGAAATTTGAGTTTTTGTAAGTTTAAAAGCAGTTTTAAATTTGCATAAAACTTTTGGAGTGATCTAATGAGGTTACGCAGTAATCAAGGAATATAAGGATGAAAATGATTTATAGGTCAGATAATTGTCCAATTGACAGATATGAAGAAAAACGACAAACATAAAGGTCATATTAATAGAAACTGAATAATAATCAAACAAAGTTGTATAAAGTAATAACTTATTGGAGTTTAAAATTACAAAACAATAATTTAAAAAGTCAATAATAATCGAATAAAGAAAAAAGGGATAAAAAACAAAACATACCATCAAAGGGAATTAGAGCCAAGGAAGAATAAGAGCTTGGATGAATCGTTTTTGCATGCAAACTTCAGGCTTGAGTTCGTGGATTGTCAATGCTTCAGTAGTGCATAAAATATTGATTCACTTTCCCTTCTATCCAATTCCTTTGACTATGTAGATTATTTTAAAAGAAGACTTGTTTGGAGTGATGTGCCCACAGTTGATTATATACACTTGTATAGAACTAGTAATTGTTTTGAATTCTCCTTTTAAAAGCCATGCTGGATAGTGTTCTGAAATGAGTTGAAGTGTTGGAAAGTGCCTCACATGAACAAGTAAATTTACTTCAGTAAATTACGTAAATTAAATTTAAATGTTGTTGTAGATATGTGTTAAACTATAATCTTATCAAATAGAATTAAACTGAAGCCTCTAAAACGTGTATACAATCTGTTATATTGATGTTATTAATAACTTTGTGAACTATAATATAAATTTTGATTCTATACTAACTGTAATACGATAAAAGTGGAAGATGAAGGACGAACTATTTTTACATTTTAGGTAATTGGTATTTTATTTACATAATAAAAATGATATATTTTATAAATATTCTAATGTTTATTATTATAAAATAAATGATCAAGGGTTTTCTTATCCAATTGCACAATATAATTAACTACATGTCAATATTTGAGATTTTTAAGCTGATGGCAATTATATATGTCCAGTGAGAATATTCTGCGTAAAACAAGGTGGTTATGATTTAAAATATCGATTTTTACATGTTTTTATTATAATAAGGAAGGATAACCGGATGAATTAGATTACAATAGAACTACAACAATTAAAATACAAGAAAAGTGGACCTTCATATATCGGCAACTTTGACACACTAGTATCAATTGCGGAAGTAATTCTAATACTGTACCATACAGGAACAAGTAGCTACCGATGTTGTTATTAAGGGAACTGAGCAATCTTACTTTAAATAGATCATATACACTAGCTCTACATCTGTCATGGATGTTTGGTAACCATAATCACTTATAAAATTGGGCTTAAAATCTTGTAAAAGTCCTCTTTTCCGGTTCGCATTATCTATAAAGTGCCCTACACCACTGGATAGAATTTTGATGACTGACCCTTTCACAAACCTATTACGATTTAATTCCATTTTTAAATGCTTCACTTTGATTCTTTGTTTGTCAGGCTGTTATTTTGTTCATAATGTTATTCAGCTAACAAAATATTTTAGAACAAAACTACCTGTAAAATGGCATCCGTTAACAAGTCAATTCAGCGAAGCATTTCTGAAAACTAGAACAACCACTAATTTAGGTACATGGAATGTTCGCACAATGTAGGAGACCGAGAGAGTCATTCATTTTGTGGCAGAAATGAAAAGACACAACATGAAGGTGCTTGAAATCAGTGGAATACATTGATGCAAGTTGGACAACAACGACTAGCTTCGAGAGAGCTACTGTTATACTCTGGCCATGAATGAAAAATGCCCCACACACACAAGGAGTTGCATTGATACTATCCAAACAAGCACAAAATGCACTTATAGAATGGGAATATCATGAACCAAAGATCATCAAAACCT